GTTTGATATTTAATGGGCCTGCAATTTCTTTGTAACAAAACAACACACATGCATACTCTTCTCCCCCTTTGTTAACATCAAAAAGGATGGGGAAAAAGAGTGAAATAGATACATATAAAAATTAAGACGTGTATAAAACACAACCATACATTTAAAAGTACGAACAAAACACATTGTATGATTTCAAACATACTAAAATACGAACAACGAATTGTACGATTACATAACAATAAAACAAAAATTGTCTAAACATTATGAAACATAAAAATAGAACATTGTCGAAACGTTACAAAGAAACATATATTAAAAAGAAATGACATAAATTTTTTTTTTGTCTTTTAATCATCATCTTCATTCATCTCATCATCATCTTCATCACTTCCACTACCACTTCCAGATACCTCTTCCTCTAGAACTCCTTTTCTGTCAAAGTGATCAAGAATAAATTTTTGAGTTCTTTGGACATTTCGAAGTTGTCGCCGTGCTGAAGCATTTTCTTGTTGGAGCACATCGAAGCGATCATCCACATGTCTCTGGAAGATTGTCATCTGATTAAACAGCATGTCTAAGGTGTAGCCGCCTTCGGGAGGTTAAGCCACATATTGGACAGTTGGTTCGAAGTCTTCTTTATAGTGAAAGTGACCTCTTGCATCTAGAATGATCCCTGTATTTTTAAGTGCGGTTGCATCTGTAATTGCCTCTTTATCTCCTTGAATCCTCGTCACTTCTCGTTGAAGGTTAACATGTGCATTTTCTAAAATGTGAGAGATGAATGTTGACTATGACATAAAACTCATTTAAAAAGCACTTAAGCATATAAAGGGGCGTGTGGCCGGTCTGCATGCTGGGAACCGGTTCTGCACTATAGTGAACCCGGTTCCTGGCTTTTGAAAAAATAGCGTTTCTGGAAAATGAACCAGGAACCGGTTCCTACCATTATGGGAACCGGGTTCCACATGCAAAAATTGCCAAAAACTTGAAAATATATTATGAAAGGAAAAGTTTTGTACAAACAATATATACACACATATTTTATAAAAACATATATAAAAGAAGGAGTGCACCTTATGAGAACCATTTAGTGATCACCTTCTTCCAAAATACCAAGTTCTTTTCCAAGCTTTTTGTTCTTGATGGACCAAAGAGATCCATGTGTAACAATTGTAGTGGTCTTGAAGTAGACACCACATTCTTAGATTTGAAAGTTATTTTGGTCTGTTTTCCCTTTTGGCATGCATTACATAATTTGTCCTTAATGAACTTCATCTTTGGTAGACCAATAACTAAGTCATGCTTAACCAATTTGTTCAAGTGCTCCATGTGAATGTGAGCGATCCTCTTGTGCCATAACCAAGCGTCATTGTTGTTTACCATAAGACATTGTACCTTCAGAGACAAATCATCTAAAGTAATCATAAAAATATTGTTAGTTCTTATACCTTTGAGTTTTACCTCATTGGTTGCCTCATCCATAATGAGACATTCATCTTTGTTGAATTTGATCTTGAACCCTCTATCGCAAAGTTGAATTATGCTAAGAAGATTGTGCTTTAATCCTTCAACATAGAGAACATCCTCAATTTGAATGGATGGAGGTGTGCCAACTATTCCAACGCCAAGAATCTTTCCTTTGGTGTTGTCTCCATAGGTGACATACCCTTTGGCTTTATGTACTAGATATGAAAATTGGTGTACATCTCCTGTCATATGCTTTGAACATCCACTATCAAGATACCAAACATTTGATGTGGATTTCAAGCATACCTCTTCTTCATTGTCGGAGTGATGTGAAGCCATTAATGCTAGATTTGCACATTCCTCGCTTTTCGAATCGGATGAAGAACTTATCTCATTATCTTCCCATGCAACATAAGCCTTTTTGTTCTTGAACTCCTTTTTGCCTTTGAATCCATTTTTCTTGGAGAGTTTTGGACAATCCGGCTTTATGTGACCTTGCTTTCCACATTCATAACATGTGACATCTTGTGTTGATGTGGAGGCTTCTTTATCTTTATGATTATAAAATTTCTTCCCTACACCGTGGTTACATCTCTAAACTAAGGCGCTACCATATTTATTTTGTTTTTGATTAAAAATTATTTGTATATAACAGCGGTTGAAGAACCAACTGTGGTGATACAATCAAACTTTTATGTGTTCGAACCTCAACGCTATAAATGAGGATATCGCTATGGTGCTTTTGTTTAATCGTTGTGATATATTTATAATAAATAAATACTTATCAATACAGTTGATAGTGTTAACGTTGTGAAATAGTCTCATATATAAGTGAATTAACTCTCACTTATTGATAGTAGTGTTGTTTCCTTCACAATGAAACCCTACCACCCATTTTTTTCTCTTCTTCTTCACCATTAGCAGTTAAACATGTGCTTCATACATTAAGGTATTCTTCTTCTTCTATATTCTTGTTAGATAGTTCCCCATTATCTCGTTTGTTGTATGTTATTTTGTTGATTGTTCTTATTTTTTCAGATTTGTCTTCACTACCTTAACAAATACCATGCTTTGGCTATGGTACGTATTGTTTATGTAGCTATGGAAAAAATACAAGAAGCATGAAGCTACGATGGAAACTTCATTCACCCTGTACTTCTTCTTCATAGCTTTACAAACAAGATGTTTTTCATAGTCTGTTGATAAATAAGTTTACGGTTTCACATGTTGATAACTTTCATGGTTATTGTAGGACTCAACAAGAACAAAATATTTTGGTAAATGAAGAAACAGCAACCGCAACAAATTTCATCTAGTTTGACATATAATGAGAAGAAATATAATAAGTATCAAGTTGTTGTGTAAGCTTCTTCCTTCTTACATTTATTTCCCATTGCTTCACAAACTAGAGGAACTTCATAATTGATTCTTGTTCCACGATTAGTTTTAATAAAAGGTGGATCTTGGAAATTTATAATATATCTTTTTCATTGCTCGCAAATTTATAATATCTGGTTTTATTGTATGATGTTGTTTGAGTTTATTATATTCTATGTAGATTATTTGTTTCACTAACCCTCACTTAAAATACATTCATTTAAATTGACATAGATACTTATAATCTGCAAATTAAGTTGTATTTGAAAACCAACTTATATCAATCAATGTTTCCGAATTGCATGCGTCTCATCGTTCATTGCATGCTCTTTTACATATAGATTATGGTATAATTGTAACTTTTACGATTATAAGTGCTGATGATGTGGTAGATTATCCAATGTCTTGTTGTTATGGAAATTTAGCTATAATCAAAGATAGCGATGTATCTAAGGATTTATACCAATAAACCATAATATATATGTAAAAGAGCATGAAATACACGATGAGACGCATGCAATCAGAAAACAATGGTTTGTTTTAGTTGGTTTTCAAGAATATTTTAATTTTCAGATTATATACTTCTTCATCAATTTAAATGCTTGTAGTTCTTTAGTGAGGTGTATGAAAACAAGCAATCTACATATTATATAATAAACTGTGGGTACTTTCAACAACGATTATCTATTGTAACTGTGATCAAAGGTAATTTATGTTTGACATAATTTGTTGCTGATGAGTTTCAAACTCAGTACCTAAGTGTATATATCACAACAGTTTATATGCATAACCGTTGTGATATATGGCGCGCGTCCTGACTTTCGATAACGGTCTATGGACCGTGGTGAAAACAACGAACTTACAACCACACACGACTCTACAACAGTATGTCAAACGTGATGGAATCCCTTTTCTAACCATTGTGAAAGGGGTTTTCCGTAGTAGTGTGTCCACCTAGGCCTGCTCACGAGGATATCCTAGAGAATGAGCAGGCCAGAGATGATCATGTCATTGATGTCTTTTCGATCTTTCAGAATATTATGCGGATTACACATGAGGGCATCGAGTCTAGACTGTTTGAGAGAGGTGGCGATGAAGCGGTTGTCCTAACATATTCCATTCTTACTGAGGCACAAAATGCATTGGGTTAGTGTAGGCAAAGGAGGAACGGTGGTGTTAGGATTAGGCATACCCTGTAGACTATACTTTTGATTGTATTTTGTTTATTTTTCATTGACATGAAAAACAATTATTGTACTATTATAATATTTCTGATATTCGTTTCTATAGTATTCCGTTTTATTAACGCATTACTCGATTAATATTCGTTTTTATTAAAGGTTGAAACATATAACGATAATGTTAATCGAATTAAAATTAGTTTGGATTAAAAACACCACAATTTTAGTAAATTGGTTATGAAAAAAAACACACAGGCAATAATTCATAAATGCATCTCCGAATTTATCTTTGGAGTATATTCAGAGATATATCTCACAACTTATTTATTAATGTATAATGAAAAGTGACTTCATATATGTATCTTCGAACTAAATTTTATTAAAAAATAATATCTTATATATTCACAATGTATCTCCAAATTTACCAAAAATATTTTTTAATTTTTAGAGATACATCCAATATAATAAAAAGCAATGAAAAATTATCTTTATTTTCTTGTTCAAGCATGGATTTTTTCGCGAGCTTTCGAGCAAGCACGATTAATTCGGTCTTTTTGCCCGCTCTAACACAATAATACATTGATTTAGTCAACAACTTACAGTCTACAATAAAATTCACATCTAACTCTTTGGTACTCTAACAACAAAAATATTCTTGGTCTCTGACTTACTGGTATCATATTACTCTAACAACAAAAATATATTACTAAGATCTACGAGATTAATATTAAATAGCACATGTTTCGTTTATTCTAATATTATTCTACTAAGAATTTAAATCTCTTTCCATGAAAAAAGTTTTTAAATCTCAACTGTTGTATATACCTACCTACCTCCAATAAATTCGAAAACTTATAGCAAAAGAAAATACTTCAATAATTTCACACCGCATAAGAAGAAAACAAAGTTGAGACTCAAAGTTCAACACTTCAACAATCTTCTCTCTCACCGACAAACATCATTCAAGAAAGTTTGGTAAGAGCAATGGAGAACAAAACCATCCATTGTTTGGTGGTACCATTTCCAGCACATGGTCACATTAATCCAATGTTAGAATTCTCCAAGCTTATACAACACCAAGGAGTAAGAGTAACACTTGTGACAACCCTTTCAAACTACAAAAACTTACCAAAATTGCCATCTTCCATTACGATCGAGACAATTTCTGATGGTTTGGACCAAGTTATAACACCAAAGAATTTCAAACACTACTTGAGTCAATTTTGGGAAGTTGGTCCAGAATCTCTTGCTGCTCTTATCAACAAACTTAATGGTACATCAAACAACCATGTTGATTGTGTTATTTATGATTCATTCATGCCTTGGTGTCTAGATGTTGCAAAGAGATTTGGAATTATTGGTGCATCTTTTTTGACTCAAAATCTTGCTATGAATAGTATATACTATCATGTTCATTTGGGAAAGTTGAAACCTCCCTTTGCTGAGCAAGTGATATCTCTTCCTGCACTTCCTCAACTACAGCATAGGGACATGCCTTCTTTTTACTTTACCTATGAACAAGATCCAAGTTATCTTGATTTAGTTGTGGCCCAGTTCTCTAACATTGAAAAAGCTGATTGGATCCTTTGCAATTCATTCTTTGAGCTGGAGAAAGAGGTAAGTAAAAAGTTGAGATAATAGTTTTATAGTCGCAGAGGTAGATACCTTTGGCCGTATTATATTAACAAAGATCGATTGTGTTCATTGTCTTTTATTTTAGTTTTTCTTTAATCTTGTATACTAGTTGTTGTTCTAACAGTTTATTTGTGTATTGTTTTTGTAGGTAGGTGATTGGACAATGAAGATTTGGTCCAACTTTAGGACCATAGGGCCTTCCATACCAAATAGATTTTTAGATAAGAAAATTAAAGATGATGAAGATTATGGTGTTTCAGAATTCAAAAATGAAGAATGTATAGAATGGCTAAATAATAAGCCAAAAAGGTCAGTTGTTTATGTTTCTTTTGGGACTATAGCAACACTCAATGAAGAACAAATAGAAGAAGTAGCACATTGTTTGAAAGATTGTGGAAGTTACTTTTTATGGATTGTGAAAACCTCTGAAGAGACTAAGCTCCCAAAAGACTTTGAAAAGAAATCAGAAAATGGCTTGGTTGTGGCATGGTGCCCCCAATTAAAGGTTCTAGCTCATGAGGCAATAGGGTGTTTTGTAACACATTGTGGTTGGAATTCAACATTAGAAGCATTGAGTTTAGGAGTTCCAATTGTTGCAATACCACTTTGGTCAGACCAAGGCATTAATGCAAAGCTTGTTGTAGATGTTTGGAAAGTGGGAATAAGAGCTTCTATTGATGAGAAGGAAATAGTGAGAAAAGAGGCTTTGAGGAATTGTATATACAAAGTCATGGAGAGTGATAAAAGCACGGAGATTATGAATAATGTCATGCACTGGAAGAATTTGGCTGCAAAAGCTGTGGGTGAAGATGGAAGTTCTTATAAAAATATTATAGGTTTTGTGAATAGCTTGTTTCATGACTCAACCACAAATTAGATATTGATCCACTAATATGTCTTATTTATAGTTGATAAATCACTCTGTTTAGCATTTTGTAATGATTTTCAAAAGTAAAAGAATGCATTTATAATTTTATTTAAAGTGTTTATCTTAAATGATATTAAATGATATTATTTTGTATATCATATTGTACTTGTTAAAAAAATACAATAAAGATAGCTTTATGTTTGTAGGGTTGTCTGTGGTGTTTAGAGTGTTTAGCGCTATCTCACGTAGGGAGGTGAGAAACTCAGTATAATTTTCTGGGTAAGATTCGATCCCCTCTCCTATCATGGAATGAGGTATTTATAAGATTTCTTTGGACATGGGTTTTTAAAAACAAGGAGCGTTATTTCAACTCTCCTCTAAAAGATGTGGAGTATATGGGAATTTTTTTTATAATATAATCATAGGGAATATGACTTTCCTCTTTGTTTGACTTCTTCAACCCGTTGGTGTAGGGACTCACAGATACACACGTTTAATAAGCAAGTGGATCATGAAATCAATTCAGATGGCTCAAGCCCAATTTGGGTGCTTTATGGTACACCATGGGCGACCTATGGAGCTACCGAGATATTCGTCTAGTGTTCCTTCGGGCAACCTATGGCGCTATTGCGGTACACTCCTAGGGCCAGTTAGTTTGACTTGTATTGATCCATATGTGTTGGGTAAGAATATGGAGTAAGAAAACAATCTAGGGGGTAAATATACTAAAATAAAATGCAACTGAATTTTCAGAAACAAATTATTAGAGGTTTTCAGAGTTTGCGCGTGGAAGATTTTAGAGCAAATATATGAGATTTATACTCTAATTGAAATTGATTCACACAAGCACTTAATCACTTCACAAATATCAAAGATGATATAATGATGATACACAAATGTATTCAATTGATTCAGTTAAATACTCCATGAGATGTGTTTATACAACGATTCAATTTCAATGAATTCTAAACTCAACAATTGCTCAGAATTTAATCACCACTAAAGCTCAATTAGGTTCCAATTCTAACAAAACTTAACCTTAAGTAATAAATCGCTACCAAATTGAATAAACGATAAACTACTCTAAGAATTTAAAAACCTAAGCATGCAATATCCTACGAAAATTAAATGTGATAGTATAAGAGAGAGAGAGAGAGAGAGAGAGAGAGAGAGAGAGAGAGAGAGAGAGAGAGAGAGAGAGAGAGAGAATACTTTGTAATTTATAGTGCTCCGAAGTTCTTCCTTTCGTTTCCTACGTGCACTCTTCAATGATTTCCAATTGGATCCTACATTGTTTCTTTTTATTTTGGAAAATATTACAAAAGTTCATACAATCAGTAGTCCATAATAATGCTGAAGAAAATAAATCTTTTATCTGAATCTTGACTTGTATACAATATCACACAAATCTACTTCTGTGTAATCTTTACTCGATTAACGCTTCATGAATCTTCCAATATCCCCAATCTACTTCAAGCCTTCTTGTGTAGCAATCACCCCTTAATCCTATCGGTTCCTTGAGCCAAGAATTATCCAAAGATTTGAGAAGAACTCCATATTATATGTAGCCCTCCACACAATCACTACCAGGGTAATCTGAAGAGAAGAACCTCCTTATTTTTAACTGCAATTTTTCAGCACCAATGACAACAACCTCAATCTTGCAAGAACTTGAAAATCCTTACCCAATCTTCAAGAATAATTAGTTTCAAGACAACGTCTCCCTCAATCAATTACAAATCTCTCATTATCCAGATCTAAAATCAAAATAAAGGTTGAAGAAAAAATAAATTTGATTGCAAGAGTTTTGAACTTTTCAAAAGTGATGGGTAGTTGATTTCACTGAAAACCACACAAATGATTATGAGATTCACTAAAGTTATGTTTGGAAATTAGATGGCAAAATGATTGTATAATTTCTTGAGATTAAGCACAAAGATGGATGGAAAAAGATTGTTATATTCGAGTCAAGTGCGTTTCATTATTTGAGTCAAATGAGTAAGTAGAGTGAAACAAGATCTCTTAAAGAAAATTACCCTTTTTCATGTGGTTTGACTTGATTTGATTCACACTGGTCCATGATTCGAATAATGTGTAAAGCTTGATTCAAATTAGACCGAATAATGACTACCATAAATTTTGTGATTTGAGTCAAAGACAGACTTTAATTTGAATCACAGAGTTGCATGATTCAAATCATGTGCAATTTGTGATTCGAATCATAAACACCAAAATTTCTTGTTTGCTTTATTAGAGCATGAAACGTGAGTGATTTGAGTTACACAAGAAATATCAATTTTTTAATTTTTTCAAAATAGTGTGAGATTCTGCTTTCCACGTGACTTTAATTGATATCACCTATGTGTCATACCCCAAATTTGTCCTATCCCTTTATAAGGATCACCTGGCTTATGCATCCCGCATTCTTCATGTACATACCTCTCATTAGTTCATCTAGAATTGCATGCATCATTAAATCAATAAATGACCATGGGATCAAGGTATTTCTTTTCGGAAACTACACACAAAATATTATTTTGTCGGGCATAAGATATAAGGAAAAACTCTGGTTTTTCAAGGTTTAAATTTGTTATGCGTGTTTCTTAAGCTATCAAAGAAATAATCAATCAAATCATCATCATGTCAAGCACTCATCTATTTCAGCATGCTCTGAATTGTGGAGAAATCAGGTATTTTAGTGAATTTGAGACGGTGCGAACCAGAAACAACGTTTTTTGCTGGTTTGAGCTTAAGAAATTTGCAACTTGCTATCGGGATACTGTTTTGAAATTTTTCCTCAGGCATTAGAATCATCTCGGTATTTTATTCATTCCATCTGTTCAGACCAGAAGCCAATTCAGTGAAGAAAGTCTCCAAAGAATTTGATTTCCTTGAAACTGTACTTGAATTTAATGTCTGGTTTTTTGTTTCTCGGGCGTTTGGAAATTTGTAACTTTTATCCGATTTAGTATTTTCATTTGATTCTTAGAGCATTGGGGCCATTTTGATTTTCTTATCACTTCTCATGTTCGAATTGAAGGCTAATTTTGTGAAGAAGACCTCCGGGAATTTTAATTCTTTAAAGACAGTGTATTGAATTTAATTGTTGGTCCATCATTATGCGAGCACTTAAAAATCCATAACTTCTGATTAGAATATTGTTTCAGAGCGGTTCTAGAGGCGTTAAAATTTTCTTGATGTCTTCTTCATTTCGTATGTTTGGCTCAGAAGTTGATTCGGTAAGGAAGATCTACGAACGTGCATATACTTTGAAAGGATACAGTGGAAAAACAGTGAAAATATTGTGTTGAATCGTTATTTTTCAGAAGTTCGAAAATTCATAACTTTTGCCCAGAGCATTTTTTATCGGTTCTTTGGGAGAAAAATCCATCTTGATGCCATATTCATTTTGATGTTCAAGTGTAGGACTAATTCTTTGAGGAAGGTTCCCGGAGATGCGAATTACCAAGATACTTTATTGTGCCGAACCAGAATTTTAATTCACCATTTTCCAATATTGTAAAAATCGTAACTTCTTTGATTTTTATCATATCAAGACGATTCATTCGGCATAATTTCATAAATGATGTCAGCTACAAGTTTGTTTCAGACCCCGAGTTTGGATTTTGATCGGAGGATTTTCGTTCGCGGAATTCTTTCTAAATTGAACGGTGAAATTAACTGAGATAAATCTGCATTAGCTAAATTGGCTCTACGTCTGTGCACCTTCAAAAATTCATAAATTTCTTGTCGTTTATCCGATTGAGTCCGTTCTTTCGGCCAAACGTTAAAAATTTCACAATCTTTGATTTTTCTGCTGAGACCGATTTCGAATTTCACACAGATACGAATTTCATTGAGACGCGTGCGTTTCTGACACCGAGCAGTCCAAGTAAGACGTAAATTCAACCCAGAGCAAATCAGGCCCAATTTTCATACTATATATCAATTTTGCCTCTCCATTTTCATAATATTGAAATCATTTACTAAGTATCAAAGTCAAAGAGCTCTCATAATTCTCTCTCTCTCTCTCTCTCTTAAGGAAAATCAAAATTCAAGAATTCCCTCTAATTCTCTCTCCTCAGCGCGATACTCTCTCTCTCTCTCTCTCTCTCTCTCTCTCTCTCTCTCTCTCTCTCTCTCTCTCTCTCTCTCTCTCTCTCTCTCTCTCTCTCTCTCTCTCTCTCTCTCTCTCTCTCTCTCTCTCTCTCTCTCTCTCTCTCTCTCTCTCTCTCTCTCTCTCTCTCTCACCGCCACACACTTCATTCCTCCCTATCGCACCCGCTACGTAGCCCCGAGCCTCCCTCCGGCCTCCTTTCTCCGTTTCGATCGCGGCTTGCTAGCTCCCTCCACCGTTTCATGTTTTCGACCATGCTTCTTCCCCTCTGTTTGCGCGCTCTTCTTCTCCGGTCCGGAATTCTCCGCTTCTCCTCTTTGATTTTGACACGGTAATTTCTAATCCTCTTCAATTAAGTGCTTTTACATAATCAATTTTGTGCATAAGTGCTTTTTCTTGAGTTTTATTAAACTTTATGAGTTGATAATGATTCTTGAATTCAATTGTTATTTGTGAATTGGTGATGATGTTGTCAAAATTTGGAATTGGATAATTGTGGAATTAAGCACTTATTTGTTAATTGATTTTCATGAGAAAGTGCTTGTTTGAAAATTTTGGATTACATCGAATTATGCATTGTTATCGAATAAATCCGAATTTAATTATTTGATTGAGAGCTTGGATGTCAAATTTGGTTTATGTCGATTGAAAAATTGTGACAAGAATTAAATTGATGTTCATGAGTTGATGCAAGTGTATATCGTTTGATTGATAAATTTAATTTTCGGTATTGGAAAAATGTTTTGATTCAATAAACTTGAGTTAACTTTTGAATGTCGATTTATGTGCGGAATTAAGGCATTTGATGTGATTTGATCGTTTGTAACTTGTTTACAATTTTTAGTTGGTAACACTTGAACCGAAAGTGCATTTTCGCATCGGTTTATAATGG